CCAAGGCCATAACCTCTGTGTGTCGGGTTAACACCAGCCCTTACCAGGCAGGGAGGGCTTTGCTTCCCCCTTAACCACCCTCAGAATATGTGGATGGCTCACAGCACATGGTCACCAGAGAAGGCATCCAAGATCATTCACTATCGTTATTACTTTCTCTGAGCTTCCTACAGTCAACGTCCTTCTGAAAAGCAACACGGCACCTGGCCAGTGGAGAGTGAGTGCCATTACCACTAGGTTGGACCTGGGGCCTGCATTACTAAGAATGCAGTCTAAGTTCACTGCCATCACTTATGATCTAGAATCTTAGGCAAGACTAGTTTGAAAGCCATGGTCTACAGCATGTACCTCGCTTGAAGTCGTCTAACATGCTTGAGCCTCCTTTCTTCCCTCTGCCTCCCCCTGAGGCTTTGATTCATGAGAAGGCAGGCCTCTGAGGGACTCAGCTTTGTTATTCTGAGCCATACATCAAAGTGATACCAGGGAGCTCTGTTCTCTTCCTTGCCTGAACAGCCCTGGAACAGGGCCCGTGTTCCTGGTCTTCTGGTCCCACACTCGGCTCTGTACCCTGGGAAGGCAGAGAATGCTTCCCGATCACATTTCCCCAGCTACCGGCCACTCCCCGTCTTCCCAGCCGGCTAGCATGCAGGCTGTTTGCTGGCAGGCAGCTAAATTGTCTCCCTTCTGTGAATGGTCAGGAGCACGAGCTAAAGTGAGAGACACTTAACACAGAACCAGGCAGCTGCGCTCCCTTCAGCACAACACTTTCAGCAGGGTTTGGGACTCTCACAATCAGCAGCTCCGTTTTCTCTTGGGCAGGGGCAAGGGAGGCAGCATTGTTTAACTCTCATAGGCCACATTACTTGGAGCATTTTCTTCTAAAAGGTTATTTGGGAAAGATCTTCAGAACCGACACTGGGGGTAAATCTGATCACTCTCAGGCTAATTTCATCCCTGGTAAGTTAAATGAAACAAATATCCCAGCTTCATGCTCAAGAACTGCCTTTACTAGTTAATCTCTGGGATACAAATGTAGCTCTGAGCTTTTGGTTCTGTTTGTTTATGTATTTAATCAAGTTGGGTATTTACACTGTAAAAAGAGCTAAGTGGCAAGGTTTCTAGTAGAAAACCACAGAACCAACTGACTGGACAATGCCTATTGGAAAAGGCTCAGCATCTGCTCACTGCTGTGTCCTGAGTCTTCTTGTCCTTTGCTCGGCCTCAGGGACCAATGGCTTATTGGTCCTCCAACCTGCCCAGCCTATTCCTACCGACTGTACTTGCTATTACACTTGCTACACGGGTTCCTGGAAAGGCCCATGGCTCCTCAGCCCCTCACTAAGGGGTCTTCTCAGAAAAACTCAGGCTGTCCTACGTGAAGCCATACCTCTCCCTGCCCCCAGAGGTCCCTCTCTATCTCCTTCACTCTGCTTTATTTTTCTTTATGGCACTTGATAATTTGTATTTGATTCCTGTCTGTACATTTTCTCATAAACCCAAATATTTGAGCTCCATGAGAACAAGAAGGACTTCCAAAAATCATTTCCTTTTGCCCCACTGTGTAAAACGGGGCCTAACACACAGAGGCAGCCCGTAACTATCTCTGAATGGATGAAGGGCCTGGACTTCCATGGTTTCCTCAATGAGATGACATCCTTCCACACCGTTGGCATGGGGTGCTTGTTCTGAGAACATCAGCCTCCTCCTAAACCACAAACCCTGGAGCTCTGAGAGCACAACTCCATGTCTTAGCTGGCTAGAGAAGTCTACTCTGCACCTTTGGGGAAAGACTCGAAACACCCCATTGTGAGAACCCCACTATGCCCCCGATACCTTTCCACTTCTACTTGGAAAAAACCCAAACCTTTACACTGGAACTACCCAAGGGAAGCAAGCTGCAGCTGGCAGATGGGTGACAGACAACGCCTGGCCCCGGGGGCTGCTCTGCATCACGGACACATGTCCAGGAGCCTTGCTCAGGGCCAGGTGGCTGGCTGGGGGGCCACTCTTCTTCACCCACCTGCAACCCTGCACTAAGCCAGGCCTTTGGAGCAGATTCTGGACAGTGAGCCAGGACTCTGTGTCAAGGGCAGCCCTGGGAACCATGTCTCTTTAATCATGGACACAAAACAGCTCAACTATACAAGATGGCATAGCTGCACACGACAGTCGGCAGTCGGCATGGGGTAACAGATAGCTTTACAGAAAAACCCATCACACGGGCTAAAAGGAGGGGAGGCCAAAGGCCTGGGGTGCAACTGCTCTGGGTGGGTGGGGGGAAGGCCACAACAATTGAGGCCTTCAGCAGAGAGGGTGCCCACTAATACGGGGTTGGAGGACTGTCTAGAGTCTGCACCCACAGTGGGGAATTCCTGCCCCCAGGGAGACCCAACTTCCCCTCCCCTCCCCACCCCCCCCCACCCAAGGGCAGTGCAGCCACGTGGCCAGACAATGGATATCGTCAGCAGCGGGGAGCCCAAAGTTTTCCAGGATGCCAGTTCCAGTAAAACATTTGCTGACATATCAAACCCATTAATTAACACCTACGAGCAGTCGGTTCCTCACCGTGCTCTGAACGTCTCATCAATCTTGCTCAAGGCAGAGCAGCCTCTAGACGAGCCCGAGAGGAAACCAATTGTCTGATTATTCAGCATGTGTTAAGATTGGACATGGTGCCTTTGACAAATATTAAACCCTCACCAAGCACACAAGACAAAGGGCAGGAGGTAGGGGAGAGCTAGTGCTGCTACTCACTCACCCCACAGCCCCCAGAATAAAATGGTTTTCCAGACCTGAGAGGAGGAGGCCATTTTGCTTCCACTTTCTCTCTTCCTGGAGACAGGTGGACACTGCACCTAAGGAATCATCTTATGCCGGTTTCTTCTCATGTTGCGAGCTTGGGATTTGCTTACACTTAGAGTTGGAGAAGGTGCTTTTCTTGTCCTGCCTCCCCGCCTATTCTTCCCCTTCTTGCAGTGTCCTTGAGATTTTTCTTCTTGCCAGTTCCAAGCTCTCATTGTATTTAAGACCTGGCTCAACACACTCCTAGGAAACTAATTTCTTGAAGGAGTGAAGGAAGGAGCCTCTTCTCTGTTTTGCCCTGCCCAGGAAGAGTTTCATATATAAACCCTCAGGCTCCCTTGGATGGAAACTTGGACATTTTTAAAGCACATTTTCACAGTCCCCAAGGGGGGGCAGGGAAGGTGGCTGGGGAGCTGAGAAGTCAAGTGCTCTCCACGGGGGCAGGACAGGAGACAGCCAGTGTTCCTGCGGAGTACACACACCTCCCGTGTGTCTCTTCTCACCAGTGTGCACATGCAGGGGACCTACTTTGCCTTCCCTCCCAGGGTCACCGATCTCAAGGATTTCCAGTCCTAAATCTGGCCTCTTCTCTGCCTTTGGATTCCACAGTCTTGCTTTTTATTCACATAGAAGGGTTATCGTCCCTCTATAGCCACGGTTAATAGGCCACCAGGGCAAAATTCCACAGCTTGTAGGTGATAGGCTTATAGCTACATTCTAACAGGAGCTTCCTAGCACCCCATGCTTTATCCCAAAGAATGAAGTCCACCTCAGGCCTTCCAGGTCCCTCCTGGTAGGGGAGCTGACATACACAAAAGCTCCTACTTTTCTGTGCTAGGCTAGCCACCTCCACCAGGAAGCCCCATGTCTCACTTCATTCATCACCCAGTCCCTGCATGGACCTCATCTCTGACGCCTGGGAAAGTGAGGGATCAGGGAAAGTAGCACCTGGTGGTGCAGAAGTTCTGCCTGGGACAGGGAAATGTAGGCAAGCTCAACCTGAGCTGGCCCAACTGGCTGGATAGGCTGTCATCTCTAACAGTAGTCTGTATGTTCCCTAGTGGTGTCTGCGGGACCCTCAGGCCAGGAGAAGGTAGTGGACAGAGGAAGAGGGAAGCACTATGGAACAGGGCTGGGGTCCTTTTCCTTCTAGAGGCCAATGAATAGCATCTCATGGAGTTGGCCAGTTGCCTGAGAGATGATCACACTTTTAAGAAACAGACAAACATATGAGAGAACTAAGGCCAGTAAGGTTCCCATGTGGGCTTGGCAATGGGAAGTACAGGGATGAGACTCTGGCCATTGCACTGGATACCTCAGGACCTTTTCTGTGGCAGCATTTAGCCTGCTTCAAGTTTTAAACACTTAAGGTTGTTATTCTAACATTCAGAACATTGAATCCTTCCCTCATCCTTAGATTCTCAACCCACGATGACTCTCCAGTGATGGAGGCACTAAACGATGGGGCGAGGTGCTATTTGCCCCGTGTTGTGGTCTGTGGGTCATTGAAGACATGCGGGAGCAAACGGCTGTGCCCTGCATCCATGGAGGGCTCTCCCATGGGCACTTGGCACATCCCTGGTTTGAACAGTTATCCTGGGAGGGAAGGGAATCTGTATCCTGACTTTTGAGCTGGAGAAGAGGGGGCCAATCACAAGAAGTTCTATTTTACATGGTAGAGAGAAAATCTTCAGAGCACACCAACCAGAATGGGCAAGTCTGGCTGAAACCATCAACACTGACATTTAAGGCAAAGTCCCCAAAGTAGGATCACCATGAGTAGGGATGTCTAGAAATTGCTCCAATCCCTCCAATATCAGGAAGGAAAGTCACTACCTCTGTACCATGCCTCTCGCTAACAGGGGCTCAGGCCACAGAGCTTACATGTGGCTCTTACTAGACTAGAAAGAATGTCATCTAGAAATATGCCCCAAGGCACACACGTGTGCTCTTTTCAGCAGATGCCATTGTGTTCAGCCAATGGTGAAACGCAACACTTGTTCGGTGACTGGCACGTGCTCATGTGGGTTAACCCCAAAGCAGAAGACTTTGCATCTAAATGCAGAGGGACTGTCAGTTTGTGGGCAGAAGCCCCGGTAAAGTCTATGGCAATTTTACAGCTGGGAGAAGAAATGGTCTTGGAAGGATGGTTTGTTAGCCGGGCCACCGCCAAGCAACTCCCTCAAGCTTCGACGTACCTTTCTCAGCTCATCCTTCTCCTTGGTGTGGGTATCTTCCAGGATCTTGCGCTCCGAATGGGCCCTCTGCAGCTCCGCTCGCAGCCCCTCCACCTCCTCCTGCAGCCTCAGGCTGCTGTCCCCACCTTGGCTCTTCTGGTAGTGGGCCAGCTCCTTCTTCAACTTCTCTACCTCCATGGTGTGTGTGTAGGTGACTGCCGACAATTGCTCCGACAGAGTCTTGAACTCTTTGTTCTGTGCGAGCACCAGCAGAGAGGGAGAGGAGAGAGCAAGGTAGAGAGTAAGGTTGTTGGGGCAGGAAAAAAAAAAAAAAACACACACATGAAGGCAGTTAAAAAAAACAAAACAAAACAAAACAAAACAAAAACCTTCCAAGGTGGAATTAAATCTCACAATCACCACATGCCTGAGTGCTTTCCCGGCATCTCCCCTAACAGAACTCTATTGTGAACCCAGGAGAAATACAGGAAAAGAAAAAAAAAAAACAAAAAACCCACCAAAGCTGACATTCAAGAAGTGTTTCTGGGCAGTGGCAGAGCTGGAAACTGGTGGACAGCAGTTAGTCGATGTTGGGCTGGACAGATCTGTCAGCCAATTTTTAAGTTGTAGGAACAGTGTAGCTGCCTTCCTGGATTTGCAGCCTTTGCTCTTCAGGTTTCCTGCTCTTTCATATGGGGCCCTCCTACCCTTGGACTCGCTGGCACAAAGAGCTGCAACCTAATCGCCAGCTCAGAGACAAAGGACCCCTTCAGCATCCCCTCTTCCAAGGAGGCCCTCTTGCCACCTGTCACCTCACCCTGTAAGACTGACTCCACAGACTGATGTCTTGGCAGATTTTGTCCATGTTGTTCACCGGGGACCCAAGTGAACAACAGGGAAGTGAGAAGCATCCCTCCACACGCCTGGTGCAGGTGTGGAAGGGCACTATAGAAAGGCTTGCACAGAGGAAACAGAGGAGCTGGGGCCAATGTTGACTGCTCATGTCAACATGGGCAAAAACTGGTGCTGCAGGAATTGAGAGCATCTGCTGCAAGCGGTCGGTGGGGAAAGTAAAGAAGGCTCTCTGAGCAACTAATCCCCATTGATTGTTCTTCATTACTATTCTCTGTGGGAGCTCCAAGTAGACCAGAACAGGGCATCAGGAGTCAATTACTAATTCGCATCAGAAATTAAGCTTCACAGAAAGCCATGAAGAACAGCCAAAGAATGGCTGTTGGGCCCAGTGTATGATGCCATTCGTTCTGTGGGACCTCAAGCCTGGGATCTGCTGATGTTGTCCCAGCAGAACACGTCCTACTTTCATGTCACAGAAAGAGGCTCTCCTGCAGTCCAGGGAGATCCTCTGGTTACAACTGGAAATGCCCTTATGTCTGGTCTGGCAGCCAGCCTTGATGTAAACACGAGAAATCCAGTTAGGCTGCATCTGTTTAGAAAACTCAATCTTGCCTACACTGATCCCTGCCCTGGTCTGGGTCCCTCTCCTGGAGGCTGAAGGGTCTCTGCACAGGGGAGTGGGCTCAGGGAGGGAGTGTGTGGTGGATTAGCCATATCAACTCTTCTCCACTCTGGACTAGCAGTGAGGTTCAGCCCAATAGTCACCTCCAGGTGGCATAGCTGGCTCAGATCACCATCAGAGTGGAGCAGAGGACTGGGCTCAGGGGTTTCTGGTTGGAGCTAGTGCAGGGTATGGAAGGAAGGCACAGAATGTGGTGGCAGCAGCAAGGGGCACAGGCACCTCACACTCCCCTGTAAGATTCTAAGGGAGAATGATGTTTGGCAGATCAGCAGATGATGGCATCCTGCTATGGACACAGAGGACACCCTCATGCAAAGATAACATGATTCTCTAGAAGGATGGCTCTTTGTGGTGCCGACACCCAGGCAGATGTGGGACTCAGGGAAGCCAGGATGTTAAGAGTGGCTAGAGCCAGACAGACTTGTGTTCAGATCCCAGCTCTATCCCTGACCAGCTACATACGTCTGATCAGATGGCTCCACCTCTCTGTGCCCCAGTTTCCTCATGTGTGAAAGGGAGGTGATGGTAAGCCTTTCCTCAGAATTTCATCAAGATTCAGGGAGATCCTGGTGCCTGACACACAGTAAGACAGGGAGCTGTCTTCTTTGCTCAGTTCTATAAGGCTGTTCTGGTGGGAGGTGCTCTGAACTCTTGGCTGGCCACCTGAGGTGGTGGGGAGATTCCTAAGAGAAGCACTTGGACAGCTCCCTAGTTCATCATCAGCATCCAAAAACCGTCACTGGGGACTTGATGCAGCTGCACATTTCATGCTCTGCAGGCATGATTTCAGAAAGGAAGACCCCAGAAGAGCTCAGCAGTTTCCCATCTTATCCTCATGCCATGAGGTCCATATCAGGTGCCCCTGACTGTGCAGCTAATCATGACATGGGAGGTACGGGGGGGGGTTGCCCCCTCATAGACCCCTGACATGGGGGGTGCTGTGGGGGACTTGCTCCCGCATAGACCCCAGAAACCCTCCCTCCAATGATGGCTAAGCTCCTAGAGCTGCCTTTGTTCGTGTGACCTGGAGACCTGGCCCACTCTGTCCTGCCCCAGTGAAGGCGCTTTCCTAATACCAGAATCTGGGGATTTCTGAACAGACCTCTACTCTCCTCAGGTATCCTGAGAGGATGCTCACCCTGCCCCTCCTACTGAAGGGCACAGATCTGTCCTCAACTGCCAACAAGGAACCTGTCTGGGAAGGTAACTTGAGACTCTCTCCTATTTGTTACTTTTTCAAATGCTTTTTTTCTTATCAAAGGTTTGCTTCATAAGAATTTTTAGGCTTCAAGTATGACCCCACCTGAAGGATATGGCATTCACCTATTCCTCTAGTCCATGATCCCAAGCCCTGTGCTGGTCTCTACTGCACTTTTGTATAAACCAGAAAGGGCACCACCTTCGGGGAGGGGGTAGGGAAGTCCACAGAGCTGCCTCTCTGCGTGGACATGGCCCCAAGGGTGCACAGATTTCTCAGGGCAGCAATGCTCCAGGGCTCATAGTTAGATGTGCATAAAATGGTCACAGGATGGTCTTTGGTCCTACTTGACCCCATAGCCAACTATCCTTGTACACTGTTACAACCTGTTGAACTGTATGGAAGAGGCTTCAAATAGTTTCCAATTATGGTCTACAGATTCCTGGGGAAGGAGGTGAGGAAATCATTGCAAGATGACTGTCTGCATTATGAAAAAGAATGTTTCACATGTGCTACCAGCACTTACTGGGTGTTTAGTATGGGACAGGCACTGTACTACATAATTCACATATACCAACTCATCCATTCCTCAAAATCCTATGTAGTGAAGCTAATTAAATTCCCTTTTTTAGGGGCACCTGGGTGGCTCAGTCAGTTAAGCGTCCGACTTCGACTCAGGTCATGATCTCAAGGTTCATGGGTTCGAGCCCCGTGTCAGGCTCTGTGCTGACAGCTAGCTCAGAGCCTGGAGCCTGCTTGAGATTCTGTATCTCCCTCTGTCTCTGACCCTCCCTGCTCACACTGTCTGTCTCTCTCTCCCCCTCAGAAATAAATAAAACATTAAAAAAATTTTTTTTAAACTAAATTCCCCTTTCCAGTTCAGGAAACTGAGGCAGTGGAGGCCAAAAAACTGTGAATTACATATGCTGTTTCTCAAATGTACTTGGATGCTCTTGTGAATCATAAAACATCAACGAATTTAACATATCTACTGAGTGTATACTAAGTATACTGAATCAACCTGATTTAAGAGGCTACTAACTGAATCCACATGATTCTGTCATATTCTTCCAGATAACACATTTAAAACAGCATTGTACTCCTAAAGGTCTAAAACTTGACCCTCATTATAACAGAAAAATTGTAGATTCAAATGGCCTACTCACTCTACATGTTGTACCTGAATAAAGCCAGAATTGTAGAGAGCCACGTTCATAGGCTGTATCATTTTGGCTTAAAAATGTCACAGCACAGGCCTGCATCAGGGACACTGTAAGAAATGGTCCCAGGAACTGTTGCTGTATTTACTGGTGAAAGATATTCTGAAGGAGTGGTTTATGAGATTACAGGTTACAAAAACCCATAGGAAAAAGTTTCAGCACCAGGGACAGCTCCAATCCTCCTCAACAATTTTTCTCTTAAACTCTCAAGTGACCCTTTTTCCTTCTTTCTGTTTGCTTGGGAACTCGGTGCCAATTTTATGTCTTGTCACTTTAGAGGGTGCACGAAACCTTAGATATGAATTTTGACGCTAACTTTGCCTTCGTGTTATCCTTCTATTTCCTCCTTTGCTGATTTCTGGGCAGTGGGAATACTTTTAAAACAAAACAAAAAAACTCTACCAGGTAATCTTACAGTGCAGCCTGAAGTTGGGAACCACTACTGTAGCCACATCACAGTATCAGTGAATTTTTGAGCTAGAAGTTACTTTAGGAATCTTAGGCCGATCTCCACTTACAGATTCAGCCATAATCCCAAGCTGCCAACTCTGGTACAAGTGTAACTGAGACAGAACTCAGGCCTCCATCCAGCTAGGGCTTTGTCCACTACCCCGTGCTGCTCTGACAAGTACTTTGGGAATGTCTTTGCTGATCCTCTCCTTCTGGCTTAAGAACCTAATGTATCAGGAGAGCAGTGACCAGAGTTGTCTCCAGGCATTACACAAAGAACAGAAAGACACTCAATTCTACATGGCTAGCCGTATCTGCCAAGAGACTTCAATAAACAAGCATCTCTGAAGACCTAGTGCCAAGACTGTGCTGATGCCTCCTCTCACAACAGAGCGTCAAGCATGTTGGACACCAGGTCACACACCCCACTGTAGAAGGCCAACTGGTCCAAGGACAATGCCATCTATATGTGAATGAACCCAAAATAAAGCTAAGAGTTCTCCTTGGATTGAGGAATTCTCTGATGTCCCAAGAATCTCCTAATGTGCAGATCTCCTATAATTTGGCTGGGGGCAGAACATTTTCTGGAGCCAGACCACCAAGTTTCAAGCCTAGCAATGCTACTTTACTAGTGTGTGACCTTGGGCAGGATGCTTAGCCTCTGTGCCTCAGTTTAAAGTGGAGATGAGATGATCTCACAGGGTCATGGGAAGGATTACATAAATTAATACAGAAGAATAGTTGGGCAACAGAGGGAGGGGTACCAGGAAGCGGGATCTAAAACCACCCCTTTTGCCTCTTCTGATCACCCTCTTCACGTAGGGCACCCTGCCCAGGGTGGATAGCACCTGCCACCACTCACAGATGTTCGCCGAGCAGGAAGCTTAAGGCAAACAGCTCTTTTTTAAAAATAGGCCTTTTAAATCTGCTTCCCTTTGATGTTCCAGCACGTGGGTTGAAAAATATCAGATTTATTTTTAACCTCTCAAGTTAACTTCAAAAATCAGCAATGCCAGTGCAGGGCCCTGGGGCTGGGAACGGAGGGCTATGGTGACTGGGCCGTACCCAGAGCTCCTGGCAGGGAGTGGGATGACCAATAAAGCCACTTGTCTATCTGACTACACTGGGCTCAGAAGGTTAACTGACAATTTTTTAATACCTGTTTTATATTTATTTTTGTAGCACCCCTTTCTAATGAAACATTTCTGAAAATGCATTCTATAAAAAAATAATACAGCGATAAGCTGCTTTATCTTTTGACTCATTTAATTAAATACTTATTGTAAAGTTACTAGTAAATTCATTTAAAAATTTTGTTGTCTGTTTAGGACCCAGTTAAATTTTTAGAATTTTGCAAATAATGGGCAAATTTTTACTGTGCAAAAGTCTTCGGTGGTCAGTCATCACTGGCCACAACAATGACAGTAATAATAATAAAACCTAAGCCCTCCCCCCCACCCCATGTACTTGAGTTTTTCAAACAGTCAATCCTTTCCACTCCTGTCCGTCTGGGCAGATGTGTCTCCCTCCATGACTGGACATTATCACTGCAGGCTGACCTGGGGCAGGTACCCAGTGTCCTCTGCCCTGCGCTTGAACTTTCCATATTGCTTCCTCACTAAGTACTCAAGCAAACAAGACACTCCGTGGAACTCACACCGGGAACATAAATATTCAGGACAACAGCTTTTTCTTGAGAAGTCTGGTTTTTTGCAAGAGCAGAGAAGCAGGGACATTTTACTACGGTCTATACGATACTTCTGGGCTGCTGTATGGGGTACATGGGTTAAGTACAAAATGGCTTATTTATTTTCTTGCCCTATTGGGGTCACGTGAAGCTTAAAAAACGTCCAGCCTACAACAGATGCAATACAACGGAGTGAGTTCCAGGGCAGTGCCTGGTGACTCCAACTTGGATTCTCTCTTCACACCACACAAGCACATGTAGCATTGTGTTCTCTCCCTCCCTTTCCCCTGTCCTTTCTCAAGAGGTGCTTGAAGCCCTCCAGGCCACTGCAGAAGCCTGCTTCTATGGTCATCTTACTACCCTGCATGACGCAAAGTAACTGTGAGCCTGCTTGTGATGCTGGGAACCCACGTGAGCAAGGAAGACACACAGGGAAGGACTAACAGTTTAATTATGTTTGGGGTTAAGAAAACTAGCATCGCTCTCATTATGGCCGTGGGCTCAGACAGGCCAGGTTAGAATGCTGGTTCTCGAACTTTCTAATTCTGTGACCTCAGCAAGGTACTTGAGGTCCCTGATCCACAATTTCCTCATCTGTAAAATGACTTCACAAAGTTGCTGAAGGATCAAATGCGAGTGAACATGAAACACCGATCCCAGGGTGTGGCATGTGGGAGTGCCCAGGAGATCATCAGGGTAGTGGACGCCATTGGCCACACTGGCTTAAGGCTGCCCTTTGCAATACGGCATCCACATGTGTCAAAGCCATCCTCTGCTCACCAAGCCTAAGCACCAGAAACAATCAAGCGCCAAATAGAGTTGTTCCATAGTGGAGAATTAAGGAAGACTGACCACTGGAGCCACCAAAGAGTGGGTGTGTGGGAGCGTGAGCATGTGTGCCTGCCTCATCTTTCTGACCTGGTGGAGGGGCTGGGCATCTTGGGCTTGGTTTGGATTCCCTGCAGTGCCCTGCACAATACCCCACACACCCGTAGGGACCCGACCAATGACTTGTCACCTTTGGGACTGGTTGAGAAGGTGGCTGGGGCAGGAAAAGGAAAAAGCATAGCATAAATAGTGGTAACCATTTCCTGGGCTCCCTACTGCGTACCAGATCCTCCGTGCATGTTCAATCACTTCTTCTTATAGCCCTAGCAGCTCCACTTTATGGATAAGGAAACTGAGGTTCAGAGGGATCAGGTCACTTGACTTCTAAGCAGCAGAGTTGAATTTGAATTGGATTCTGATTTCAAAGCATGTGCTCTTCCCATCACACAATGCAACAGAGGCAGAAGAGCAAAGTAGTAAAGAACATTGGCTCTAGGGCCAAACCAGTGAGGTTTGAATCATGGCCTTTCCAAGGTCACCTGTGTGACCTTCACCTGTAAATAATGGAGGATGATACTGTGCACCTTATGGGGCTGTTGTAAGGGTTAAATGAGTTAATACGAAGCACCAGGACAGTGCCTGGTAGGCAGGGAACCCTCCATCAACGGCTGCCTCTATAAGAGCAGAAGACCATGGATTTGGGCTACTGTATCTACTTTCTCTTGCCGCTATATCACCATAAAGTTACCAATATAAATGCATTACCTTACGGTTCCAGAGGTCAGAAGCCCTAAAAGAGGTCAGAGCAGGGCTGTGTTGCTCCTGAAGGTTCCAGCGGAGAAGCCATGTTCCTGCCTTTTCTAGTTCTCAGAGGCTGCCTGCATCCTGGGTTCATGGCCCTGCCTCACTCCAACCTCTGTCACCACATCTTTTCTGAGTCTGACTCTCTTGCCTCCCTTTTACCAGGATCCTTGTGAATATACTGGGCTCACTCAAATAATCCAGGCTCATCTTCCCATCACAAGACCCTTAATTACACCTGCAAAGTCCCATTTGCCATGTGAGGTCTCAGGTTCACAGGCCCCGGGGATTAGGGTGTGAACATCTTTGGGACAGGATTCTGTCTGCCACAGTCAGTAGACATTCCTGCAGAGTCAGGGGGATACTCTCGGGACGTCTGTGTTCCCTCAGGTCTCTTACAGCCCTAACAGCCCCCATTTTATGGATAAGAAAACTGAGGCTCAGAGGGACACAGGCAGTTCCCTGGGGATTTCTCTCAAACGTGTCCCCTGGTGTCTCCTGCAGCCCCCAACCCCAGGCAGGGAGCTCCCGACGCTGACCTGGTCATCAATTTTCCGCTGCAGCTGAACCACCTTGTTCTCCATGCCCACATTGAGACGTTTCAGGTGCTCTGCTGAGCGGGCCTCAATCTTGAGGGCCTTCAGCTCCTGCTTGGCCTTAAGCATGCGGAAGCCACACTGGATGACGATGGCCGCGCTCCGAAGCCGCTGAAAGCGCCTCCGCGCCATCCAGCCCCGCACGTGCTTCTGGAGGAGGGTGGCCTTGTGCTCCATGAGGACCTGGGAGGGGAGAAGCACACACTGTTGGGTTTGCGCTGCAGGAAAGGAATGAGGGAGGCTCCCACACTGCCTGGAGGAAGGGAGAGCCAAGGCAGGCCTCGGCTTCAGGAGATCCCGAGAGGACACGCCTCCCTCACATACAGTTTTGGTGGCCATTTGTTTCATGAACAAGTTTTAACTAAGTTCTGCAGTGGCCTGTATACCTGCAGAGAAGCAGCTGGTCTGCTGCTACTCATTTTTAGTAGTTTGCTTTACTTTCTGTTTTATTCGTTAGGGAACCACGGCATAAAAACCTCCCAAGTTGGAGGGAGTCTGAAGATGAACTCTGCTGGTATCTTCCTGTCTAACAGATTCACATCCCCTCTCTGGTGGTGGTGGTGAGCCCAGAGAAGGAGATTCTATAGCGTCCATGAAGAGCCAATGATGTATCGGTACAAATTTGGCTTGTAATTCCCTTTCTTTTTTCTATCAAGTTAATACCACTCAGAAAATGAGATCAATGTGTTTACCCTAACCCCCTGCAAAATAAACATCTTGGGGGATAAATGAGCAAACACACCCAGTATCACAGCTGGGTTCAAGCCTAGTGCCTCCCTAATGTCACCTGCCCCTTCCCTGATATCACACAGATGTCACTCATCTCCCAGGAACGTTCACAGAACTACCTCCCACTGACCTTGGTTTCCCCATATTACATCGCTGGGCTCCACCCTAGTGTCTGATCACGTTAGGTTTTTCATGGTCACTTCAGTGTTTTATTATTTAGAAAATCCTACCTTCTCTGATCATAAAAGAGAAAAATGTTCTCTTTAGGAAAAAAGAGTATCTTAGACATTTCCTTCCGATCTGTCCTTCATCCTAGCTTTGAGCTTCAGTTGTGTTGGGGTGATACGCTGGACTGGCTGTGTCCTGACTCCACATACCCGAGTATTTCAGCCTTGCTGGAATCATGGCCGGGTAGGGAGGTCAGGGTCCGCCGACCTGCCTTACCTTGCTGGGCTTCAGATTCTGAACTCGTTAAACGAAGGGGTGAGACCTGGTGACGCTTATATTGCCCCCTGCTCTCAAGCCTGAGCTAGCCTGAGACAGGTCACCAGGCTCTGCCACTGGCTAAGTGCCCTTGGCCAGGTGACAGGTTCCCCAAGCATCTCAGCTATCAAAGAGGCCCAACGATACGCAGCCATCTGACCTAGGATGGTTACTCTCACGTGTGGACTTGCCTGGCCTCAGGATGCCTCGATTAAACACTGCTTCCGGGAGCGTCTGAGGTGTTTCTAGAGGAGATGAGCATTTGAATGAGGCGGGGGGGGGGGGGGGGGGGGGGGGGGGGTCATCATTCCTAAGGGCCAGAAGAGAACAAAAGGCAGAGGAAAGAGGAATTGGCCCCTTTCCTCCTGACTCGTTGCTTGAGTTAGGACATCTCATTTTCTCCTGTGCTGGGACTGGGATTCACACTATTGGCTCCTCTAGTTCTTAGGCCTTCAGACGTGGACTGAATTACACCACTGGCTTTCCTGGGCCTCCAGCTGCTGGATGGTAGATTATGGGACATCCCAGCATCCATAACCATGGGGACAATTTCCTGAGAGTCCCCACATGTGTGTACACACACACAGAAGTTCCATTTTTCTGGAAGACTAAACACCATACCTCATGGGACTTGGAAAGGATTCAGTGGGAGCAAAGGTGTGAAATCACTTAGAAGAAAGCTAGGAGCACCCCCACAATATTTGTGGTGGTGACAATCCATCTGCTGCTGCTTTAGCTCCCGGTCTGCAGCCCCCGAGTCCCCGGGTTGGGGGTGGGCTACACACCTGCTGGTAGATTCTCCGCACGAACATGCCCCGAGTGAAGGCCTGGATGGTGACGGCAGCCCTGCGGACCCTCTGGTAGGCCAGGCGGGCCCTCTGCATGCGGTACTGCTTCTGGAGCACAATGGCGGCTTGTGTCCTTCGCAGATGCTGGGCCAGCCTGGGGAGGGAGAGTGCAGGCGGGCCCTGCTGATGGAGGCCTGGGAGCCATGTGTGAATGCAAGCCTCTCCCCCACTCAGTCCTGCCTGGGCACTCCAGGCTGAGCCCATGCTGATCATGCTCACAGAACGCAGCAAGGCCACATGCACCTGAAGCTCAGGCTCTGAACGGCAGCATGAGCTCCTCCGTGTTGTCTAAGTAGTCTTTCCACAGGTTTAAAGCTTAGTCTGAGCCTCCCAAGCCCCTGATCCCCATCTGCTCATTCCCCCTCCCGTGAACCCCTCACACCAACCTAGGCAGTCCCTAGCAACACCACGTGTTTATGCCTCTGTCAGTCTCTGGTACTTCAACTCAGCTTGGAGATGACAGGAGCCAGCTCTCCATCATGCCCCACATATGTAGTAAGGGCCTGGCCCGTAGGTGCTTGGTGTATATCTGCTGAATGAATAAAACCTTCACAGGCCTGCACCCCTATCTCCTTGCTCTCTCATCTCCCCTGCCCTTTCCACCCGGGAAGCACAATGCACAGACACCTACTTTCCTGTTTCACTTCTACATTCCCCACCGCACCCCCCAAGTAAGACAAAGTCAGTCTGACACTTCTTACCCTCCTTCAGGGCTCTGCTTGGTGTCAGGCTCATAGCCAGTGCTCAGAGACTCAGAATAGTAAAAGCTAGAATGGCTCTTGGAAGTCCTCTAGCAGAGCCCTGGAGCCCCCAAGGAGGGAACCCACCAGCCCCACCCTGCCTGAAGTGAGTCTGACTGCACCAACTCTTCATAAGTACTTTCTCCCTATGTGGGCCCTGCATGTCCCCTGGGGCATGAACTCCTACAGGGAGAACACAGGTCAACTGTTTTAGGTTCTCACCAACTGCTGCGTATGACGGAACTGCACACGCACGTAATGACTTGGCTGTTGGCACAGACTGCCGACGATTACTTAGTGTTGATGCTACTGACAACTTTCTATTTCTATAGCTTTGGTTCCAGAGATCATCAATGGTGTTCATCATCTCTGGTTAAGCCTGGATAAACAGCCTATGGCAAGGACGGGAAGGAAAGCAGGCGCAATCTCTAACTTTCTCATACAAAGGATGCCTGCTCTGGCTTCTAACTCAGGGGTTTTTCCTTTTAATGTTCCAGCACCAGTGACTGAACAGCCACTTGTCAAAGTTTGGCTTCCAAATGCAAGACTTCAGGGCAATGGTCATCACTTCTCCAAAGAAATCCCTGTATCGAGTGGGTGGATCTAGAACCAGGGTTGGGTCTTGCCGTGACCAATGTGCCCCTCAGTGGAGGTGCTCACGCTGTTTGGTGCTTTATCGATCCAACCAGACCAGGTGGGAGGGAAAGTAGTTTCTGCTGCACGGTGCCTGGCTGAGGGTCCTGACTGGCACCCAGGCTCTGCCCCTGCATAGCCGCCTTGTGGTTAAAGTCATACCCTCAGTGCGAGTGAATTTACATAGGAACCTTCCAGGATCTTTCCAGCTCTCATTCCCAAACTCCCGAGGGATTTGGAAACTGGTGTCGTAAAACAATGAAGCTGAGTGGAAGGTGTGAAGGCTGAATTGGTCTCCTTTTCTAAAAGATTACTTTGGGATTTAGGCAAAGGGGAATAGTGGCTTTGTGGCACACACAGCCCATTCTAGATTAGTACTGGTGGGATGGGGACAGACTGGGAGAACCAGGAGACTCAGAGCCAGAGCTAGACTTACACCCTCAGGTGAGAAGCACATGGGAGACACGTGCCCAGTTCCTAGGAGAAAGCTGGGGTGCAGACAGAACCACTCATCAGGCTGAGAGAGGCCAACCAAGTCCCCTTTCCCCAGAACTTGCCACACCAGATGCGCCCCAGTTTGGCTCACCTGCGGGCCAAGAGTCCTCGGCAGTACCTCTGCAGAGTTAAGGCAGTCGCCTTCAGCCTGCGGTACTTCACCTTCTGCAACCAGCCCCGGACAGTTTTCTGGATCATGATCGTGGCTGCCCGGAACTTGTCAGCCCGAAGCTTCTCCAGGTAAGCCACCTGGCCTGCCCGGAAGAAGATCTTGGTGCGGCCAAACTGGAACTTGTCGGGATCCTTTATGAGGCAGGGAGGGGAGCATCAGTGAGGTACCATTCCCTACCACCTGCTCCTTCCATGCAGAGTTCCCTGGTCAGACCTTGCACACCCCTGCTCCTTAGACACACCCCAACTCTCAGCATTCATTGGACATGAAGTCCCTACTACTGGAAACCCAGGCTATGGTGTCCAGGACCCAGCACTGAACAAGATGCCTGTCCTCAAGCAACTGACATCATGGTGAGAGTAAAAAGGCAAAGTTTTCAGACAGTGGCAAAGGTTATGAAGACAATAAAATTGGGGATTTAAGGGTGGGATGGGGATACTTAAATAGGGTAATCCTAGAAGGCATTTTTATGGAGGTGGTATTTGAGCAAAAACCTAAATAAACTAAAGGAGGTATTCCCAGGGGAATGTAGGAGAGGAAAGTTCCAGGAGAAGAGCAGAGCAGATGCAAATGTTCTGTGGTAGTGAAATCTGAGTATGTTTGAGGAACAAGAGAGCCAGGAGGGTTAAGTGTGGGGGCAGGAGAAATAAATCACCAAAGGCCTTGCAGGCCACAGTACGCAACTGGGATGTGGGGCGGGGTGGGATGAGCCAGCCGTGGCCTCATCACAAACCCCAGTGGGCTGTACTAACATTTTTACTTTCTACGTATGCCGAGATGTGAAAAAAGTACCCACACACGTGAAGGGACTTATCTTTTAGAGTTGCGGATGTTGGAAAATGGATGAACATCTCAAACGGTTTTAAGAAGGATCGAGGCCAAAAAGGGCTGCAAACTCCCCCAAATCCCCAACTCTCAGGGCATCTGGGCAAGCCTCTGGGGGTGCGTCCAGCTCACCTTGATGAGGCTTTCCAGGACAGACCTGCAGATGGCCTTTTTGTCCGTGTTGGCGAGCTCTCTCTTCTTGATCAGCACCCGATACCGGTTGAAGAAGTCGTGGTAGGCCCACCTGGAGGGAAAGCAGGTGCATCAGGCGGCACGTCCTGCTCCCCAGCCACACAAGGGCCCCAGCCATCTCAAGGCCCCATGCGGTCGCTAGTCCTGGGGTGAAGCTGTTCTCAGAGCAGTAAAAACACATTCCTGGGGCTTGGCATCTTTCTCCAATCTGAGAGTTTCAGTGTGTGGCTGAATTATACAATCATGAGCGGGAGAGGGAAAAGGAGGGTTTCAGAGATCTCTCTGCGAGGACCGGCCAGAGGCTGAACCACTCACAGGGTTTCTGTCCAAGCAAAGGCACGGAGCTCCCCTCTGCTGCTGGAGGGGAGCTTTGCCTGGAATGCAGCTTGGTTTTAAATGTTGTTTTTCTTTTATTGATACTTCTCATTTAAAACCTTTATAAAAAAGAGAGACATCATGAGTGGGGGAGAGGGGAGGGAGGAAGACAGAGAATCCCAAGCAGGCTCCACACGGTCAGTGTAAAGCCTGACGCGGGGATCGAACCACAAAACCATGAGATCATAGCCTGAGCTGAAACCAAGAGTCAGAAGCTTAACCGACTGAGCCACCCAGTTGCCCCAATTAAATGCAGAAAATATACATTAGCAAATAAAAGGTGGCCATATCTTAATCCCTAATGACACTACCATTCACACATTTTGGTACACTTTAGAAGGAATCTTTTAAAAAATTTTTCTTGATGTTTATTTTTGAGAGACAGAGTATGAGCAGGAGAGGGGGCAGAGAGACGGAGACACAGAATCCGAAGCAGGTTCCAGGCTCTGAGCTGTCAGCATGGAGCCCGATGCAGGGCTCGAACCCATGAACCGCAAGATCATGACCTGAGCTGAGGTTGGATGCTTAACCAGGCCACCCAGGTGCCCTGGAACCATCTTTCTGCCCAAAGTAGAGTTCACTTATGATTTTCCCTCTTTCATTAGAGTAATGCAAGCCCACCATGAAGGATGTATTCAGCAACTCCCTTTAAAAAAAAAAAAAAAAGCACTCACAAATAAGTGTGCTTTAGTATGTTCTGGAAAGGAATCTTTCAGGAGACCTTAAGTCAGGCTCTTGGCCTCTGAGGAGATCTCTAAACACATGCAAACTTTTCAAGGAGTGAGCGGTTTCCTAGGCTGGGTCTGACCCCTTTCTCCTGAAAGCAACCTTCATCCACACAGATGTCCTCTGACCCTCCTTGCTCCTTTTCCTGGGCTCCAGAGGGGACGCTCACAACCTCCTCACATCACACATTCTGCTTCCACACAATCCTACTCTAAGGAGATGGCATTTCCCATCTAAACCCCATGCAGGTGAGCGCGGCCATCTGTCCCCACTGGTTCTGCATCCTTGGCAGAGGCATCCAGCAGCCCCAGCTCGCCCCGCCAGAGGCATCGAGGGCCGCCACACACACCCTGTCTGCGACAACACACACGGGCCTCATAACCAGTTTGAGACTGTGCATCTGGGGCCTGGCTGAGTGAGCATCCTGTGGGCTTGTTCATCTCACTCATTCTCATGTATTAACTGGGGTGGGGGCACCTGGGTGGCTCAGTTGGTGAAGCATCTGACTCTTGCTTTCAGCTCAGGTCTTGATCTCACAGGTTCTTGAGATGGAGCCCTGCATCAGGCTCCATGCTGAGCGTGGAGGCTGCTTGGGATTCTCTCCCCAACCCCCACTCCTGCCCAGTGCACCCTCTCTCATAATAAATCAACGTTTAAAAAAGTTTACAAACTAAAATTTTTAAGTATTACTAGGGAGTAAATGGATTACACCCCTTCTCCTGGAGCACATTTGCCTTTAAACGGGGTCCCTTCAGAAATTTCATCCAAAGACCAGAGCACGGTGGAGTATTAGGTACTCCTGGTGGGTGGTGCCCACGGCACGCGCTTAGAAGCCGGTTGTTTTCGAGGGCCTTTCCTTGGGCTCCATAACCACCTGCCAGCATGAGCCTCGGGTCCCCCTTTCCCTCCCAGGCCATGCTCCTCAGCGCCCTGGGAGGCAAAGGAAAATGGAGACCAAGCTCCCTGCCTCTCCACCGCCTCCATCATCACGTACCTTGGTCTGGTGGAAGGTTTTCTAACATAGCTACGGGTGTCAGGGAGGGAGGAAGCCTGAAAGCAAACAACAAAAAGCATTCTCCTCCTTACTTTTTTCCACCATGTAAAAGTGCTATTTAGGAGTTATGCCTTACTTTTTCTTTCTATAACAGTTTTATGGAGATAACTCACATACTGTATGATTTACCCTCTTAAAGTGGACAATAGGCTTTAGTAGATTTGCAAAGTTGTGCAACCATACCCAGTACAGGGTTCCAGAACATTTCATAATCCCCGGCGAAGCTCCCATTCCCATTATCAGTCATCCCCCGTCTCCCCGCCTTCCAGGATCCTGGCAACCATGAATACCCTTCGTTTCCACGCCTCTTGCCTTTTAATTAATTCTGTCACAAACATACTGGCAACTTCTGCTCAGAGCTGACCAGGCGTTACATGGCCCTGCTCTTACAGGCTCCCAACAATATGTACAGGTTCCTCTGGGAGGAGAGCAGAGAGACGCTTGGAGCCCCCGAGGTGTCTGTCTTACAGTCTGGGAAGGGTTCCTGCTGCCCTTCTGTCCTTCACTTACTGAGCTCAAGTTGTTTCCTGCCCCTCCAGTTGCAGAGGGGCTGTGAACCAAGCCCACTGACTCACAGGCCATTTCAAACAGGCAGCTTTTTAAAAAATGTTTACTTTTTAGAGATCACAAGCCGGGGAGGGCTGGACAGATGGGGACAGAGGATCTGAAGCAGGCTCTGTTCCTACAGCAGTGAGCCCAGTGTGGGGCTTGAACTCATGAACCGCAAGATTATGACCTGAGCTGAAACTGGAAGCTCAATGGACTGAGCCACCCAGGTGCGCCCAGAACAGGTGGCTTTAAACATGGAAACAGGTTATCTACCTGGCCAAATGCTGCCTCAATTATCCCAGTCGTGCACCACAAACGTCAAGAAAACTCCTGAGGTCTGACCGATTTGAATTCTGGAGGCCTAGGACCAGAGCTAGAGCTGATAAGCCACAAATCAGATGTGTGTTTTGTTTTTAACACATGCAAATGTTACCAGACTTCTCCTGAGGTCTTTCTGCCCCCAAGTTTCAGACACAGGCCTTTCTCTTTACTAATACTTCCACGCAGGACAAGATGCAAATAGAATGACGTACACACAAAGGCTTTGTGAGGTCTAAGTTGTTGTCCTCCTCATGCCCGCCCATCAACACGGGCCTCCATCGTGCACCTGTTTCCGTCCACAGTGAGGTGTGGGCTCTCCTTCAAAGCCAGTTCAGCACGTTCTGGGTGACTTTGTGCGGGCCCCTCCCCCATCCTGCAAGACCGTTATCGGTGTGCTCAGCTCACTCATCTTTCTCCCTATGAGTTCGCAATTTCTCTGGGGAAATAATCAGAGCAGCATTTAGCTGGGCTAAAAACCTTAAATGGTTCTAATTTGAAACTCTCTTACTGCTGACAGTTCCATAACTCAGGGTGGTTACAGGCTCAAGGAAATGACAAGACAGTAGGGAGATGTGACTGCAAAGACATCAAGGCCAGTACAGACTGAGTGTGGAGCCCAGAAGCAGAGCCGCCTGCATGGACACAGACAGGTAGCGTGACCTTGGACTCGTACCACATGGGGGTCTTTAAAACAGAGAGAACATCAACTGCCTCACAAAGTACCTCCAACACTTTGGTGGCCAAGGAGTTCAGGAATGCGGAGCACTTAGAAAGCTTCTTGAGTTCTAAGACACTGTCCCTTTCCGGCTGACTCTCCTTTTTCTTAAAAAGCCTTCCCTGGATACCTGTCCCGGGGTGACCCTGATGGGGGAGGAGTGTGCCCATAGCAGACCAACCATCTGCTGAGAAGGGCTCCCTCATGAGCTACCAAAGGGGCACGTACCAGTGTCCTTCGGCCACGGACCTAGCACCAACTGTGGATTTCCTTTTCCATGGAACTCTGTGCTCTTAGAGATAAAGTCCCTGCATAAAAGCCTCCCTCACATGTAGAAGGAAAACTTTCCAAGTGAAACTAAACAGAATATGTGATTCGTTTCCCAAAAGTAGCACTTAACAAAACTTCTTTATTTGGTAGGAATATCTGGATGGGAGGTTTTTTGTGGCCATGTAAAAATTAGGGCAGACCCCTCTATAGGACCACAGGGGGTCAGGATTTCCGCTTGAGGTGCTCCGCCACCATGAGATCTCCCTCCCTCATCGTTTTGACTAGTCCTGCTTCCTGCGGGATACAGAGCTTTATGCCTTCTCTATAAGAGTTTTTATACATGTGCTACCTTCTCTGATAGACTCTAGCCTCCATTGGCTGGGTGAGGATACATTTTTAAATTTCTTCACACCTATCATGGTACTTTACACACACTTACATTTTAATAGAGTAAGTGTTTTCCTGACCAATAAAATGATGGAATCCCAATGTTAAACCTTTTCTCTCTTACTGGTGTTTTTCTCCAAAGGGGCATTATTGGCTTTGGGGCAGGACAATCCTTTTGTGCTCAAATGGACACAAAACATCTTCAGACCATTACCTGCTACTCCATTCACTGAAATATGCAAAGATGTTCCCATTTGCAAAATGTTTATTCTAGAATATAGTGTTAGTCTAGACAACCATCTTGAGAACCAACCAACCCTGCCTACCATCTGCCTCTACAGTGTGAATCCACTGCTTCTGCTCCCACTTTTTGCCCTCAAGTGGCCCTCGACATGTCCTCCCCTACTCGCAGCATGGCTGTGCGGATTGCTGGTCGGGATGTAACCTTTAAGCCAATCCTGGGCCCAGCTGCTCTCCTATTTCACATTATTTGTGGGAGAAGAGCTCCTATCCTTAGTCTATTACTAGGTCCCAACAGTGGCCTCAACCCTGGGCTATGCAGAGTTATAGTGGCCTCAGGGACAGAAGGCACACTCATCCCTGCTCTCCCTGGATTTGGACTCAAAGCAATTCTAATCGCTGGTGGGAATGTAAA